ATACACTGTCTTTGTCCCCCTCCAAGTAGAAAGATCATAAAAAGCCCGTTCCTCTGAGCTGATGCAGCCCACAGCCAAGTGAGCAGGCCCAGGGCTGTATTTCAGACCCATCCACTTAGCCAGCGCTCTGGTGGAGTGCACAGACTGTACAACCGCCTGGGGCCCCAGCCTCCCTCTCTCACACCATCTGGTGCCCCATCTGTCCCATCCACAGTGCATGGCACCAGCATGATCTTCCTCATATTCTACTCTGTTTGCACACTGGCTTCAAGGTCTCCAACCCTCTATCACTGCACCCAACACTCTATATGATTTAAAACCTGCCTCTCTTTTCAGCTTTTTTGCCACCTTTGCTCACAATTCCCAAGCTTCTGCCAAATGGAGCTACAAACTAAGCCTGGACATGCCACACTCCTTTACTGTGTGGCTTTGCACATACTATTCCTTTAGACTAGAAAGCTCTTCCAAGGCACCTGGGTGGCTCAGTTGGTTAAATGTCTGACTTGATTTCAGCTCAAGTCATGATCTGGTGTTTCACGAGTTCACAAAACTGTGAAACTGTGATGTTAGCACAGAGCCCACTTGGGATTCCCTGTCTCCCCCTCCATCTGCCCCTCCCCCCACTTGCACTCAGGAGAGTGTCTCTCTCTCTCAAAAATAAATATTTAAAAAAAATAGGAAGCTTTTCCTTCATGCCTATTCCCCATGTTTGCTTGGTCAATTTCTAGTTATTTTTGTAAAAAAATAATTTTATGTAAAAGAAACATGGCCTTATTTTAAAACTTGGAAAATGCAAAGAATTATGGGGAAAAGTCCATATTAAAAGGTTAACTGTGGTTCACACTTCTCATTCTTTATTTTTTCAAACTATTTTCTATGCATGTATATTTATGGGTCATACCTAAAAATCTGTATCATGCTTTTTTCATCTAATATTACATTGTAAGATTCCTTCTGAACTTCTATGAATTATTTGAAAACATCTTTTTTTATGACTGTGTAATTCTCATGTTTGTGTGTGTGTATACAATTGATCCTTGAACACAAGGAGCTGGAGCTATAGTCAAAAACTTGTGTGTAACTTTTGACTCCCCCAGAACTTAACTACCAATAGCCTACTGTTGACTGGAAGCCTTACAGATAACATAAACAGTCAATTAACACATACTTTGTATGTTATATGTGTTACATACTGTATTCTTACAATAATAACTTTTTCTTAAATTTATTTTGTATTTATAGTCTACACAGTTTAACTGTGAGGTTTTTTTCAAGTTATTGCAAACATCCAAAATTTTTTTCCAATATATTTGTTGAGAAAAAAAAACCCACAAATAAGTGAACCCGCGTAGTTCAAACCTGTGTTGTTCAAAGGTGAACTCTCTAGTATATCTGAAGAGTTTGTTTAACCCTTGTTTTGGTCTTTAGATGGTTTCCTTTTCATTTTTTTACAATTGTAAATAATGTTACAAAGAAGAGTTTAGCACATCGCCAAGACAGCCCTTCTGTTTATTCTAGGCAATTCTAGAGTGGAATTACTAGAATGGTAGAAAAGAACACTTTTAGGTTCTTGATATGTGCTGTCAGGTTGCTATCCAGAAAAGGTAGTCAATTTACAAACTCACCAGCCACGTTCCTCTTATTTAATAAAAGCTTCTCTGTTATTGAGACTCAATTTTTTTTTTTTTGGTTTAGTCCTTGACAATTTCATTTTAATTTTGCATTTCTTGGATGAGGTTGGAAATTTTTCTACATTTATGAACCACATGCAGTTCCTCTTCTGTGAACTATCTCTTGGGGTCTTCGTCCGGCATTCAGTCAGAGCCAAACTTCCTACTCATTTTCAACACTTGATTTAAGCATCTTGTCCTGGAGAAGTTCTCCTGATGATCTCACACCCAACCCCAAGTTCAGACCTCATCTTCTAACTGGACTGTGTGTGCACATTTACTCCTGGGACTTCTAAACGCTATTGTAACTGTTTACATGACTGTCTCCCCTATTAAACAATGAAAAACTCATGGGCCAGGGCTGAGTCTTAGGTATTCTTTTCCTCAGCACCTAACCAATTGCCTGGCACAATGTATGTGCCAATTAAGACTTATTTAATGATCTACTGAATAAACGAAAAGAAATAAAAGATCATTGAAGAATGGACATCTAACTTAACTTGGATTTCATCATGATGGTATATCTACACTTTGTATTAAACAGAAAGGATCACTAAGTCCTTGGATAAAGCTATGCAAACTTGTGTAGACTAATATAAATGCTAATAGAAGAGCATATAAAAATTCACACTATTAAACCACTGGAGAAAGAAATACAACTGGCAACTGTTTATTCAAAAAAAAAAAAAA